GTCGCTTACCTCTTTCATGTCGCGTTTACCTTTCTCATGTCGCTGCTTACTTCTCTGATGTCGCTTGGTTACCTCTCTCATCTCGCTGGTTACCTCTCTTCATTGTCGTAGTTTACATGTCTCATGTCGCTGTTTACCTCCCTCATGTCCCTGTTTACCTCTCTCATGTCCCTGTTTACTCTCTCATGTCGCTGTTTCCCCCTCATGTCCCTGTTTACCTCTCTCATGTCACTGTTTTACCTCTCTCATGCCACTGTTTACCTCTCACATGTCACTGTTACCTCTCTCATCTTGCTGTTTACTCTCTCATGTCGCTGTTTACCTCTTCTGGTGTCGCTGTTTACCTCCTCATGTCGCTGGTTTCCTCTCTCATGTCGTTTGGTTACCTCTCTCATGTCGCTGTTTACCTCTCACATGTCGCTGGTTTGCTCTCTCCTGTCGATTGTTTGCTCTTTCATGTCGCTGGTTACCTCTCTCGCGACATGTTTACCTCTCTCATGTCGTACTTTACCTCTCTCCTGTCGCTGTTTACCTCTCTCATGTCGCTGTTTTCCTCTCTCATGTCCCTGTTTACTCTCTCATGTCCCTGTTTACCTCTCTCATGTCGCTGTTTACCTCTCTCATGTCCCTGTTTACCTCTCGCATGTTACTGTTTACCTCTCTCGTGTCACTGTTTACCTCTCACATGTCACTGGTTACCTCTCTCATCTTGCTGTTTACCTCTCTCATGTCGCTGTTTACCTCTCGTGTCGCTGATTACCTCTCTCATGTCGCTGGTTTCCTCTCTCATGTCGTTGGTTACCTCTCTCATGTCGCTGTTTACCTCTCACATGTCGCTGGTTTGCTCTCTCCTGTCGATTGTTTGCTCTTTCATGTCGCTGGTTACCTCTCTCGCGGACATGTTTACCTCTTCATGTCGTACTTTACCTCTCTCCTGTCGCTGTTTACCTCTCTCATGTCGCTGTTTACCTTTCTCATCGCCCTGTTACCTCTCTCATGTGGCTGCTTACCTCTCTTAGGTCGCTGGTTTCCTCTCTCATGTCCCTGGTTCCTTCTTTAATGTTGCTGGTTACCTGTGTCGTATCCCTGTTTACCTCTCTCATGTCGCTGGTTACCTCTCTCATATCGCTGCTTACCGCAGTCATCATGCCGCTGTTTACCTCTCTTATGGTGCGTTTTACTCTCTCATGTCGCTGGTTACCTCTCTCATGTCCGTGTCTACCTCTCTCATGTCGCTGTTTACCTCTCTAGTGTCGCTGCTTACGTCTCTCATGTCGGTGGTTACCTCCTTCATGTCGCTGTTCACCTCTCTCATGTCGCTATTTACCTCTCTCATGTCACTGGTTACCTCTCTCATCTCGCGGTTTACCTCTCTTATGTCGCTCTTTATCCCTCTCATTTGCTGTTTACCTCTCTGGTATCGCTGTTTACCTCTCTCATGTCGCTGTTTACCTCTCTCATTTCCCTATCTACCTTTCTCATATCGCTGTTTACAACTTTCATGTCGCTGGTTTCCTCTCTCATGTTGCTGGTTACCTCTCTCATGTCGTTGTTTACCTGTCTCGTCGCTGTTTACCTCTCTCATGTCGCTGTTTACCTTTCCCATCTCGCTGTTTATCTCTCTCATGTCGATGTTTACCTCCCTCATGTCGTTTGTTTACCTCTCTCATGTCGCTGTTTACCTCTTTCACGTCACTGGTTTTCCTCTCCTATGTCGCAGGTTACCTCTCATATCGCTTTTTCCTCTCTCATATCGCTATTTACCTCTCGCATTTCACTGTTAACCTCTCACATGTCACTGGTTCCCTCTCTCATCTCGCCGTGTACCACTCTCATGTCCGCTCTTTATCCCTCTCATGTCGCTGTTTACCTCTCTGGTGTGTCGTGTTTACCTCTCTCATGTCGCTGTTTACCTGTCTCATGTCGCTGGTTTGCTCTCTCATGTATCTGGTTACCTCTCTCATATCACTGCTTACCTGTTACATGTCACTGGTTTCTTCTCTCATCTCGCTATTTGCCTCTCTCATGTCACTGTTTACCTCTCACATGTTACTGGTTGCCTCCCTCATCTCGCTGTTTACCTCTCTCACGTCGCTGTTTACTTCCTCATATCACTGTTACCTCTCTCATGTCGCTGGTTACCTCTCTCATCTCGCTCTTTTCCTCTCTCATATCGCTGTTTTACCGTTCTCATGTCGCTGGTTTCCTCCCTCGTGTCGCAGGTTACCTCTCTCATGTTGCTGTTTACCTCTCTCATGTCGCTGTTTACCTCTCTCATGTCGCTAGTTACCTCTCTCAGTTCGTCCAAGTGGTGAAGGACAATGCGAGCAACAACAAGAGGGCGGTGATCGACCTTGGTGAAGGATTCCCCATGGTATTCTTCACCAATTGTGCGGCGCATTGCCTCGACTTGATGCTCGGTGATCTTGGGGCGATAAGCGTGGTGCATAAGGTCCTGCAGCAAGCGCACCAAGTAGTCATGCTCGTGAAGGCTAGCGCCACCGCCGTGACCCTCTTTCGAGAGGACTTTAACGAGTTGGAGCTAGTCCGTCCCGGGGCTACTCGGTTTGGCACGCAAGTCCTTATGGTCGGCCGTTTCTTGGAGGTGAGAAAACAGTTGAAGAGCATGGTGATTAGCAAGGAGTGGGCAGAGGTGCCTGCAGTGAAAACGAAGAAGGGGAAGCGGATTCAAAGCCTTCTCCTAGACGAGGCTTTTTGGGGCTCGATGGAGGCAGTGCAAAAGTTGTTGATGCCGATGTATGAGGTGCTTCAGGTGGTGAACACCCGTTCTCACCTCATGGGACACATCTATGGCTTGATGCTTGACGCGACAATGAAGACCAACAAGGCCGCGGAGGCCGCAGGTCCTTGCCCATCCCCCACCGCCATACTCCGTTGCGTACCTTTTTTGTACGGTCGAGGACAATATGCAGCCCCTACCTTTCCGGCCCTTACTAAACCGCCTCAAACCGTTGTTCTCCGTTTTTTTTCCCAGCCACATTTTTCATCAAGAGAACGGGGCTACTCTTGGCCAAGAACAAGGCATCGTTCTTGACCAAGGTGCAAATGATCATAGCAGCACGTTGGGACGGCCAACTCCACAACCCGCTCCATGCTGTGGGTTGGCTCCTCAACCCCCTTAACCACTTTGCCGAGGAGGTGAGGACCGACTCGGATATTGGTAAGGGGGTGAAAAGGGTGACAGAGGCGTGGGAGCCGGACATTCAGCGCCGCACACTCCTCCACTACCATATCGGGGAGGGGACTTTGGGCAGTTTGGAAGCACGATGGGCCACCACCCACCTTGTGGAGAGCGGGCGGTTCTCGGAGACGGAATGGTGGACCACCTTTGGAGGGGAGGTGAGGGCGTTGCAAGAGATCGCGGTAAAGGTGCTATCTCAACCCACGACCGTATCCAAGGTGGAGCGAGCGTGGTCGACGTTCGCACGGGTGCAACGTCAAGATCACAACCGGTTGAACACCTCCACCTTGATTGACGTCACGGTGGTGGCGATCAGCCGGCACTCGAGAAAGGCTTTCGACAGGAAGGTTGCGGCTCGGGACCGCCTCTACCAAGACCTAGGCGCTAGCGTGCTCAGAGAGGCGAGCTCTGGCCCCACACCACCCGCCTCCCAAGAGGAAGAGGGGGAGGGGGAGGAGGTGGTGGAGGAGGAGGAGGAGGTGGAGGAGCGGTTGAGTGCACTATCGATTGGGAGTCCTTTGGGAGCATCCGCGAGAGGAAGAAGAGGAAGAGGAAGACCTCCACCGTGAAGCGTTCGAGAAAGGAAAAGGGCTCGGGAAAGGGAAGGGGAAGGGGAAGGGGAAGGGGAAGAGGGCACGGGAGGAGGAGACGACGACGACAAGGAGAGGAAGTCCGCGGACCATGGGATCTCGGCGTGGGAGAGGGGGGAGGGGTTGGGGGGGGGGTCGGAAGAGGAGGAGGACGACGACGAGGACGACGACGAGGAAGTGGAGGAAGAGGAAGTGGAGGCCGAGGAGGAGGACAAGGAGGATTCGGGGGAGGAGGAGGAGGAGGAGGAGGAGGAGGAGGAGGAGGAGGAGGAGGAGGAGGAGGAGGAGGAGGAGGAGGAGGAGGAGGAGGAGGAGGAGGAGGAGGAGGAGGAGGAGGAGGAGGAGGAGGATGAGTAGGGGAGGAGGAGGGGTAGGAGGAGGGGTAGGTGGATGAGGAGGAGGATGGGTAGGAGGTAGTGTAGGGGGGAAATAAGTAGTAGGAGAATATGCGGCAGACGCGAGCTTTGGCGGGACTATTTAGTTCAGCTAGGACCCCTACTATGCTTGCCATAGCCACCAATAGTCGTCTATTTTGTCCCCTTGTGTCCCTGGTTTTTTTTTGTTTTTTTTTTTGGAATTGTGGAAAAAAACAATATGAAAAAAACGGCGTTTTTTTATAATAAAACCGTTTTAAACGGCCTGCCGTTTTTTTTCAACCTTGCTCACCTCCACGGCGTCTCTGGCCTGCCGCTTCGCCATGCCCTGCTGCATCAGCTCCAGCTGCCGCCACGCAAAACGCCGCGCCACTGGCGGGTCAAAGCCCTGCAGCCTGGGGGTGGGGGGTTGGCAAGAAAGCAGGGGGGATGGGATGGTGGGTTGATGGGGCGATGGGTGGTGGGGGTGGAGGGGGCTAACGCTGCGCCACTGGCGGGTCAAAAGCTCTGCAGGCTGGGGATGGGGACCGCAGGGATGGGATGATCGGGGTGATGTGGGTGGTGGGGTTGTTGAAGCAGGAGGGAGGATGGAGTCTGCAGTCAAACATGCGAGGCTAGGGAGAGGTGAAGCGGCTGACCGCCACGCACTGGCACATGGGCAGCCGCAGATGGGGAGGGATGGCGGGAGATGGGTGGGTGGCCGGGGATGTGGATGTGGTGGGAGATACGCCTGCAGCAGGCCTCACCTGTACGCCTGCAGCTTGGCCTCAGGGTGCCGGGCATAATACGACTCCACCAGAGGGTCCTCCGCCAGCTCGATCCGCCTTGCCTTGGGGCACCGCCGCGCCTTGGGCTGCGGGGGCACTCTGAGGGGGGAGAGGGGAACGGAGCAGGGGTAGGGGGGAGGAGGGTGGGGGAGAGAGGGGAGGCCGACGATGATGATGTTGATGGTTATGATGATGATGATGATGATGATGATGATGATGATGATGATGATGATGATGATGATGATGATGATGATGATGATGATGATGATGATGATGAATGATGATGATGATGATGATGATGATGATGATGATGATGATGATGATGATGATGATGATGATGATGATGATGATGATGATGATGATGATGATGATGATGATGATGATGATGATGATGAGGATGATGATGATGTTGATGGTTATGATGATGATGACGGCGAAAACGACGACGAGGATCGTGGTGGTGGTGGTGCTGCTGCTGGTGACAACAGTGGCAGCGCCAATGACTCGGAGCGCCACTGACTGGGAGCGGCACTGACTGGGAGCGGCACTGACTGGGAGCGCCACTGACTGGCAGCGCAGCCGTCGTGTGACGCGGCGGGTGGTGGGGCTCGACTCCTCCGCTCGGAGTAAGGCAGCCCGCCACTGGAGCGCGCCACACGGCTGCGCTTCGGCAGGAGGGCGCGTGGCCCCGCGGGCCCCGCGTGGCCCCGCGTGGCCCCGCATGAGCGTGCATGGCAATGCAGAGTGGCGCATAGCCTCTTGCCCCTCGAACCTCTCTTTCCCCACCGCGGCCCCACTCCCCCTCTTTCCCCCCCAGCGCGCTCACTTGGAGAGCGCGTCGAGCCACTTGGGCGTGTCCACGATGCCGCCGCGCATCAGCAGGCGCGCCTTCTGCAGCAGATTGCCGCGCATGAACGACATGGCGCCGCGCGCTTGCGGGGAGATCGGTGATGGCAGGGGGTGGTGGTGGGTGGCGGGCGATGGCGCGGATTGGTGGGGAATGCGAGTGTCGCGCGATGGCGCGGGGATGGCGGCGGAGATATCGATAGTGGCGGAAACGGTCTGGCGGAGAACAAGAGGTGGGGGGAATGGCGCTGTGATTGCGGCTATGATAGAGGGCCGTCGCTTGACTGGCGGTCAGGCGGAAGGGAGATGGGGGAAGGCGGAAGTCAAGGAGATCGGCGAAGGGCGGAGGGGGTGGCGGAACAGGTGCCGCTGGCGGTCGATGCCTTGGAGGCGGCCGCTTGTAACGCGGAAACTAGCGACGAATGCGCTGTTGTTCGCAGGGCAGCGGCTGCGAAGGGTCCGAACTGAGGGCGCGGTTTCTGTAGTTCAGTTGGCAATGTTCAGGTCCTTTAGGGAAGGCAGGTTCGGATGTCAGGTTAACTACAATGCGCAAATATTTGTTTCGAGTTTCGCAGAAACCCCCACATTGTAACATCACAGAGAAGCACAGGTGCGCGCGTCGCCAAATCAATGCGCACTGACAAAACCGAACCACCAGCGATGTTACAATGTTTTGGCGCGCGTATGCGAACTTCATCTGGTGATGTTTGGGTTGGGGATCGGGCAACGCACAGTCTCGCAAATCATTTTCGCGAGTTTCGGGCATCAATCTCCAACTCCAGACTGGTACCTGGCTTGACGCATTGGATCATGGGTTGTTGATCACAAGTGTTACGCTGGTCGATTTCCGTGGTCGGAACGTGCCAATCTTATTTATGTTTTGCACACATAATCGTGATTGAAATGTGTCACAATCAAATTACCGGGTAGCCGAATCTAGGATGGCCAAACGAACGCCAAGAGATCTACGTTTACCGCGCCCTGAATGTGATGCCAAGGGCCCCACGTGTTGGTGTTGCAAAAGAGTTAGGCAAGGAGAAACGAGGTTTATCTCCCATCCTTCAAGCCAGGAACAAACAACCGTAAACGCCCGGATAGAAGACCCCTATGTCTTACCATATACCGAGGAAGAAAGTGGTGAAGTTTCTTATAAACGGAAAAAAATCAGGGGGTCCGGGTTTCTTATAAATGGAAAAAAAAAACTTATAAACGGAGCCCTTTTTGGGTGTGCAGAAAGTGCTAACCTAGGTTTTAGGGAGTGTACCGTCACTTGGGTCTCATACTGACTTAAAAAGTGTGTCTTATAAACGCCTAATACAAGACATGGTGTCTTCTATTCCATGGGGGTCTTCTATCCGGGCGTTTACGGTGGAGTGCACATGGGAGGCTTTAGAAAGGCATGCATGCATGCATGGCACCTTCGTTGCAACCGCATGATAGAAACAGTGCAATTGACTTCACCACGCGGAGCTAAATTAGTCGCCTACGAATGCACGAGGCACGCAACAAGGAATGCCCTCCCTCCTCCTTGGCTCGATGCCATCCAGGGCAGCGCCTCCTGACTCCCGAGGCACGCTGTGGCGCCCGCCACCACGCATGGGGCCGACGACCGACTGCCAACCTGGCGTGTGTGTAAGTGCATCATTGCCTCTGCTCTGCCTCTTCCGCTCCTGGGGTCGCACAGTTGGCCAGCGCGCACCATCCCCATCACTGTTGGCCAGCGCGCACCATCCCCATCAGTGTGCACCCCTCTTGCACCACAGGGTCACTCTCCTCTCCGCTCCACTCGCCAGCTCCAAACCAATAAATGTACCCCCCCCAGCACTACTGTGGGTCGGGCTAGTCTTGGGCTCTCCCCCCCAATGGCGGGGCTAGCAGCAGGCCAGCGGTCAGGCCAGGGGGTGGTAGGCGGTGGGCATGGCCGGCTCCGTTGCTGTGCGCACCACTCTCCCCCCCGCCTCCCCTCCCCCCGCCTCCCCTCCCCCCGCCTGCTCCTCCCCATGCTAGCAGTCGCACTCACCCGCTCGCCCCCGCTCTCCCCTCCCAGCCCTGCACTCCCGTATCTGCCGTCTTGCCTCGGTCCGAAGCTGCGGCCGTGGGAGGGGCGGGTGTGGAGGTAGTAGCCCCCGGGGGCGAGGTGCAGGGGCGTGCCCGGGGCGGAGGCGGAGAGGCGCGGCGGCGTGGGGCCCACGGAGAGCCCAGGGCGGCGGCCAAAGGGCACCACGGGGGAGAAGGCGAAGCGCGGACTCGTGGCCGCCGACACGGGCCGCGACGTGCTGCTGCTGGTGGTGGTCATAGGGTTGGCCGTGCTGCTGCTTCTGGTGCTGCTGCTGCTGTTTCCTGCCCACGTGTCCCCGCCAGAGCTAATCCCAGCTGTCCGGGGAGAAGCGCCGCTTGAGGTTCGGGCCAAGCCTGCACCGGAGGCCCGGGGAGGGCTGGAGACGTCGGACCGGGCTCGGGCCAGCTTCTCTGACTCGCCGTTGACGGCGATGACAGGTGGCAGGCTGAGATTGGCCACGAGCGCTGAGAGGTGCTGCGCTGCCTCCACCATCTCCGCCGTCCCACTCTGACCACTGCTGCCACCCACGGCACCTGGCGAATCACCCGACGGACCACCTGAAGCTGCTGCACCTGGCTCCATCTCAACAGAACCTTCTGATCCCTGCGTTCCTCCACTCCCCCCCTCCACTCCCCCCCTCACGCCACTCCCTGCTGTTTGCCCCCTCTCCCCCCCACCACTCCCCGCCCTTCCTGCCTCCACCGGCCTTCGCCCAAAGAACCAGCCCGCCCAGCCCCCCCCCCTGTCCCTCCTCCTCCTCTCTCACCCCCCCGCCCTCACTCCACCTCTCCGCAGCTCTACCCCCCCCTCCCTCCCCGTCCCCGCCCCCTCACTCATGCGCTGCCCCCACCTGGCATCTGCTGACTCAGCACCAGCTGAATCTCGGGAAAAGGCCGAAGAACTCCGCCCAGCGGCATCAGCAGCGTGGGTGGCGGAGGGCGGCAGTTGGAGGGCGGCGGCATGGGTGGGGGAGAGCAGCAGCAGGTGCTGCATGGCGGGGGGCATGTGGGAGAAGACCACTCGCAGGTCGCCCCTCAGCTTGCCCACTGCTGGGGGCTCGCCGGCTCGCCGCCACGCCTGGAGATGTGGAGACACAGTGCGGGTAAGGGCGGGGGGCACAGAGAGGTGAGGGGCACAGAGGGGTGGGCGGCACAGAGAGGTGAGGGGCACAGAGAGGTGAGGGGCACGACTAAAGAGAGACGCCACAGACCGCTGCTGTGCTGGTGGATGGGTGCACACAGGGGGGGGGTGGTGCAGAGGTGTGAGGTGGGTCTAGAGGAGCATGGGCATTGAGTGATGGTGAAAGACCTTGCCATGCACGCACATGTACCAACGAAATCCATCCCACCCGAATCACCGCCCTCACGCCTGCCTCTCCCTCACACCTGCCTCTCGCTCTGCCCCTCACCTGTCGCTCGTCCGCCATCTGCGTCGCAAGGCACGAGAACGCCTCCATCAGCTCGCCCTCGCCCATGCCCTCCACAAACTTCCTCGCGTCCGCCCTCAGCCGCGCCGCCCGCCACAGCCGGTGCTGCTCCGCCTCCGCCACGGCGCGCCGCCGCTGGAACCACGGCATGAAGTTGGGCCCTTCCAGAAACCTTCTGTACACCTCCAGCCACCTGCCCGCCTGCAGCCTCTTCGCCAGGAACTTCCCCGGGCCGCGGGCAGCCAGCTGCCCGAGAAAGTCCGCGGCGTCGAAAGGGAGGAGCGGCGGCGGGTCACAGAAGGGCGAGGTGTCTTCGGGGGGCGCGGCGGCACGGAGGAAGGGGCCGAAGGGGGCGAGGAAGTTGGTGGTGAGCTCGATGAAGTGCCTTCTGAGGATCTCGTTGTTCACCATCGCCACTGTCTCCATCGACGTCGCCTGCCGCGCCGCCCCCGCTGCTGCTGCCCCTCCTGGGGCGGAGCCATCAGCAGGCGAGTCGTCCAGCCCCGTCACCCCCGCCACGCCTGCCAGCAGCGACCCGGCGACGGCGCCGGGGAGGCTGAAGAAGGACGAGGCGGCGGAGGAGGGGGCGGAGGCGGAGGCGGGGCGCGTGGACGAGAGCGAGATGCCGCCGCCCCCAGCCCCTGCTGCCACCCCTGCAGCAGCAGCAGAGGAGGCTAGAGAGCCGACGTCAGCAGGGGAGGCAGCAGCAGCAGAGGCGGAGGAAGCGGAGCGGTGGGGGCGGAGGGAGGAGGAGGAGGGGTGCAAAGCGGTGGAGGTGTCTACGAGGCGGTTGAGCACGGCAGTGTCGGCCTTGACTGCGGGCACGTGGTTGGTCCACAGCGCCTCGCGGTGCTCCGCCATGAGCGAGAGTGGGCCCTCCCTCCGCATGCGCGCCACGCCTCTCGTGCCCGCTGAAAACACACTGGGGGCAGGGCATGGGACAATGGGGGCGGGATTGAGGAGAAACGGGTGTTAGCAACGAGGCGAGACCGCCTGCACGTGGTTGGTCCACAGGGGCTCCCGATGCTGTGCTGCCATTCTCCCCTCGCGTCAGCGCACCACTAGTGGCCAATGGTCTCAGGGGCGACACCTGCTGCCTCTGCGGCAGTCCAGCAACGCTCTCTCACACTGCCGTCTGCTACTTACACTGTCACACTCCCCTCGAGCCCTTCCTGCTGTCCCTCTCCCCTCACCTCAGCAGGCCGCTGGTGGCCAGTCGTCTCAGCGGCGACTGCTGCTGCTGCTGGGGCAGCCGCGCCACGCTCTCCCGCACTGCCACCTGCCCGTTCGGCTGCAGGCTGCCGCCCGCCCCCACGCCGTACCGCGCGGCGCCCGCCACGCCGTGGCCACCGTGCGGCGGGCGGCCGATGGAGAGCACGTGGGGGAGGTGCTTGAGCGCCTTGAGGAAGAAGAGGTTCGTCACGCCCAGCACCACGGGCGGGATGGGGTCGCCGTCGCGCAGCGCGTTGAGCAGGGGGAAGTCGGGGTCGTGGATGGTGAAGTAGGGCCGGAAGTCCAGCGAGCACGGCAGCGGCGCGATGAGCCCCACGAGCGCCGCCACGGCCTCGGAGCACTGCGCGGGCGTGGGGGCGAGCACGAGCAGTGGCTCGCCGATGAGCAGCAGCTCCCACAGCACCCACAGCTGCGCCACCACCCCCGTGAAGATGCCAAACACGTCCGCGTCGTGGAAAATGCCCTGGTGGGGGAGGGGGAGGTGGGCGGATGGCGAAGGGGAAGTTGAATAAGAGGCGCCGTGGATGCTGTGTGCTTCACGCGGCTGAGAAGCACACGCCCGTGAAGGTGCCAAAAGCTACGAGTCATGCCCGCGCGGAGGAGAGGCAAGAGCAGAGCATGGGGAAGCGGAGAGGGCGGGGGGTGGTAAAGGGGAAGTGGAGAGGGCGGGGGGGTGGTAAAGGGGAAGTGGAGAGGGCGGGGGGGTGGTAAAGGGGAAGTGGAGAGGGCGGGGGGGTGGTAAAGGGGAAGTGGAGAGGGCGGGGGGGTGGTCAAGGGGAAGTGGAGAGGGCGGGGGGGTGGTCAAGGGGAAGCGGAGAGGGCGGGGGGGTGGTAAAGGGGAAGCGGAGAGGGCGGGGAGGTGGTAAAGGGGAAGCGGAGAGGGCGGGGGGGTGGTAAAGGGGAAGTGGAGAGGGCGGGGGGGTGGTAAAGGGGAAGTGGAGTGGGGCGAGTGGCTGCTGAAACTCAGTGAGGCGCCTCAGAAGCAGGCGCAGGCGCACATGCCAGCGGTGTCGGCAGCACGAGATATGGCCAGGGGGAGGGGCGAGGCGGGGGGAGGGGACTGGAGGGGGGAGAGGATAGTGGCGAGGACAAGGGTGGCGAGGAGGGGCTGCCCCGGGGAGGAGTGGGAGTGGGGAGACGGGAAGGGGAGGGTGAACTGGGCGAGAGTAGGGGGGCCGTAAGGGGAGGCTGGATCCATGCTGTACTGCATGGCATTAGCATGGGGAGCACGAGTCACCTGCGGTGCGGAGGTGTTGAGAGGGGCGGGCGCCATGGCGGCGGTGAAGTCGTCCAGGGGGGAGTGCGAGGCGGGGGGAAGCGTGTGGGCGGGCGGCAGCTGCACGCGCAGCGAGGTGCGCGGCCCCACGGGCAGCTCCATCACACTGCTGCGCCGACCGCCGCTGCTGCTGGTTGTCTCGATGCTGCTGCTGCTCGCTTGGTACGGCGCCGGCCACAGCGACACCCACGCCGCCACCTGGACGAACGCGATTGGCCCACGGTCGAAGTAGAGCGGCCCAACGACCTGTGCGAGGCGGCGGAAGGCGGAGGAGAAGGGGCGCGCCGACAGCACCACCACCGATTTCTGCTCGCCGCCCCGCGGCAGGCGCTCGTCGTGCCGCTGCCGGTTGAACACAAACCCGTACAAGTACCGCGGCCCGCTCCGCACCCCCGCCAATGCTCCGCCTCCGCCTCCTCCTCCCCCCGCCCCTCCCCCTGCCCCTCTTCCGCCCTCCCCTTCACTCTGCCCCTGCATCCGCCCCCCCGCCCCCACAGAAGCTGACCTGTACACCGCGACTTCCTCCTCCCTTCCTGCGCCCTGCGCCAGCCCCGCGCTCCCCCTCGCGCTGGCGGAGTGTCTCAGCGCGCCTGCCTCCGCCTGAGCGCGCCATTGTACTTCCCCCTCCTCCCCCGCCTCGCCCCCCTTGAGCGGCTCAGTGGCGCATCTGTCCAGGCGCGCGAAGGGGGAGGGGGCGGAAGCGAGGAGCCCGGTGGGGCTGGTGAGGGACGACGCGGGCGCGCTCATGCTCTCCGCCACCGCGCCCGCCGCGCCCCCGCCCCGCCCCACGCTGATACCTCGCCGCGGCGTCGTGCCAGGTGTCGTCGCGCGATTGGTCCCCGGGTCCCACCGCGGCGGGCTCGCGGACTGCCTCCGCGCGGACGAGGCGGACCGCTCCGCCTGACTGGCCGCCAGCGCTGCTCCCCCTGTTCCCCCTGCTGCCCCCCGACTGAAACTGACGTGCACCTGCTGCTGCTGCAGCAGCGGAGAGTGCGGGGTGAGCGGACTCCGCCCATCCCCCTCCGCCTTGTCGTCGCTGCAGCCACCGCCACTCCCGCCGCAATCAACTCCGCCGCCGCCGCCGCCGCCGCCGCTACTGCTCGCCGCAGCGCTGTCCGCAGGGGGCACGCCGCGGCGGCGGATGCGGAAGAAGAAGACGCAATCATAGAGGCTGGCACGGTTGTGCACGGTGGACATGGAGTCGGGAAACGACGAGAACGCCACGTCCGCCTCCTCCTCCGCGCTCAGCGCGCCCGCGGGGAACAGCGCCTCCACCAGCTGCCCCTGCTCCAGATCGAACCGCACCGCCGCGAACCCCACCAGCCATCGCCGGAAGGCGGGCGGGTCCCAGTGCCCCTCCCACTGGCCGTCCGCGCGCCCGCCCGCGCGGGATGGGACGGCGGACCGCCCCCGGGATTGGCTCGGCATGGCGGGAGAAGGGGGGAGGCGGAGGGAGCGAGGAATGCAGAGAGTCTTACCCTTAAAACCCCTGGCTGCTATGTGTATCGTGAACGGCCATCAACCCTAGATGCTGACGTGGACGCTGCCGAGCGAAGAAATTCTTGTGCGAAAATGATATACAATCGTGTTAGGACGATGAGAGACTGGGAAGCTACGTCCGAACGCCATTAGCTACGAAATCGGATGATCATTGGGTTGCTACACGAGCAGTCTGCAGTTGCCACTCTCACGACGCCGATGCGCGGTGGGTGAGAGACACACCCCCGCTGGCTGCACACCACGCCGTCGCTGCTCAGCTGCGCGCCCACCGCCCCTCTCGCATTCCCCGCGCCACGGCTCTGACTTCGTACCACAACTTGCAATTAGGGTTGCTCTCGAACCAGCGTACGTACTGCTAGTTAGACCATGTGGCCTTGTTGGAAGCGTCATCTGCGGCCCACTGGCTTGCGCATGATCCACCTAATCCGAACAGTGGCTCTCTCAAACCCACTAAACCGAGATGAACCGAGGCGACATTCTCCAAAAGAAGTCAGAAAGCAGGAAGTGTCAGATCGGCTGGCCGAACATGGTGGAGGCAGGCTCGGTGTCCGGTGTGGCTTGGTGTGTTCTGCACCATCTGCCGAATCCAGCGAAAAGCTGCGAGGTTCCAGACCTAATTTGGTGTTTCGGAACTCGCTAAAGCGGGGCGTGAACTTCGTTACAGTGCGTTGATCACCCAGCTCATGCCTTCTCGCACGGTTTGCATAAGTTCATCACTCTACGAGTTCTACTCCATAAGATTTTCCATTTAAATTCATGTATTAGCGACTCTTTATCTATGAAATATCTCATTAAATCAAGAATTATTTCGTCCCACTTCTTGTGATGTGTACGAGCTTCTTCATCTAGGCCAAAATGCCTTGCGTGCACTTCTTTACGTAGATAAATGATAACGCAAAGTTCTACAACGGATGTTTCAGCAGTTTCGAAGTTCAAATTCTTCCAGCTTCACCATGAAGCTCCTCCCCCAAGCGTCACCGCAGATCCCATCACTTCCATCCACCATACCTATCTGCGTGGGATGGTATTTCGTCCCCCTCGTGACTCCTAACATCCTGCACGGGCCGCGCGGGAATGTTTGTTATGCAGTTAGCGATTGGAATAGCAAGAATACTTCGACCAGTTTGTGGGGCTTTTACTTTTACTTCCCCGATGGTGCGAGTATGAATATCTAGGTCCTTTTTCGTGCCCGACTGACACTGTTCTGCGCATAATCCGCGAGTTCGCTTTCTCAGTCCCACCGGTTTCGGCTTCAACTCCAGCGGGCATGGAGAGAACGCATATCAAGGGACCTCTGCGGTCGCAGATGAAAGATAAGGTCCGTCGAGCAGCGTCGTCCAGCAGCGTCGTCGAGCAGCGTCGCTTCTACAGCACAAACATCGCGCTGAAAGTTCAATAATCTTCGAATGGCCTCTCCGTGTTTTCAACTACGAGCGTGACACACGCTTTGCTCCAAGTCGCTCCTCTCAGCCCTCGCTCCTCTCAGCCCTCGCTCCTCTCAGCCCTCGCTCCTCTCAGCCCTCGCTCCTCTCAGCCCTCGCTCCTCTCAGCCCTCGCTCCTCTCAGCCCTCGCTCCTCTCAGTCCTCGCTCCTCTCAGTCCTCGCTCCTCTCAGCCCTCGCTCCTCTCAGCCCTCGCTCCTCTCAGCCCTCGCTCCTCTCAGTCCTCGCTCCTCTCAGCCCTCGCTCCTCTCAGCCCTCGCTCCTCTCAGCCCTCGCTCCTCTCAGTCCTCCTCTCAGCCCTCGCTCCTCTCAGCCCTCGCTCCTCTCAGCCCTCGCTCCTCTCAGCCCTCGCTCCTCTCAGCCCTCGCTCCTCTCAGCCCTCGCTCCTCTCAGCCCTCGCTCCTCTCAGTCCTCGCTCCTCTCAGCCCTCGCTCCTCTCAGCCCTCGCTCCTCTCAGCCCTCGCTCCTCTCAGCCCTCGCTCCTCTCAGCCCTCGCTCCTCTCAGCCCTCGCTCCTCTCAGCCCTCGCTCCTCTCAGCCCTCGCTCCTCTCAGCCCTCGCTCCTCTCAGCCCTCGCTCCTCTCAGCCCTCGCTCCTCTCAGCCCTCGCTCCTCTCAGCCCTCGCTCCTCTCAGCCCTCGCTCCTCTCAGCCCTCGCTCCTCTCAGCCCTCGCTCCTCTCAGCCCTCGCTCCTCTCAGCCCTCGCTCCTCTCAGCCCTTGCTCCGCTGCTTTCACGACCCTAGCTTGTCCGCTCATCTCTTGCTCTTGCCAACGTCTTCCCCTACCCGTGCCCCTTCATCCTTCCAATCGCCCCTCCCCTGTCCGTCCCTCGCCCCCCCAGCTGCGCCTCATGTGTCTCAACCGCGTGCGCGCCAACCGCCACCGCCTGCTCTGGGACATGCGCTCCTCCCCGGTCGCCTCCGCTCCCCCCTCCTCCTCCCCCTCGGTGCACCCTCTCCCCGCCCCGGCTTCCTCCCTCCACCCGCCTTTCCCCTCCCAGACTCGCGCTCTCGCCAAACCACATCCCCTCTCCTCCGCGACCTCCTTGTCTCTCTCCCACTCGCTCTCCCAATCGCCCTCTTCTCTCTCGCAGCCCTCCTCCTCCTCCTCCCCACCCCCCTCATCCCTCGCCGCCCTCCGGCCGCCACTCGCCGTCTCGCAGCCAGCCGCGTCAGCAGCGCGCGCGTGCATGGGCGCGCAGCAGCCGCTGGGGGCAGCTCGAGCGGTGGCGGGCTGTGAGGCGGACACGCGAGTGGGCGGTGGTGAATGCGGTGGGGGCGCGCAGGGCGACGACGGCATGGACGGGGTGCAGATAGACGAGGGCGGGCAGCGAGAAGGGGCGGCGGGCCATTGGGGTGCGCTGCTGCCAGCAGGCTGCAGCAGTGTGGCTGCTGGGCCCACTGCGGAGGCGGGAGGGGCGCGGGGGTTGGACGTGACTCGCGGGATGGGCGCAGGGAGGGGAGAGGCGCGGCCAGAGCTGCGGCGGGTGCTGTTTGGGGAGCTGCAGCGGCTGCATGGCGTTTGCGGGCCTGATGATGGCGGGTGTGATGGCCGCGGTGGTGGTGGTGGGGGCATGGAGCAAATAGGGGCGTCAGGGCAGGAGAGGGGCGAGAATGTGGTGATGCGGGCAGAGAGGGGAGAGCTTGGAATGGATGCATGTTACCCATGCGACCCATGCAACCCATGCGACCCATGCGGCCCATGCGACCCATGTGACGCGATGCACGATGGCAGGGAAGGGGCAGGGGAGATGGGAAGGGGGGCGAGGGGGCGAGGCGAGTGGGACAGTGATGAGGAGGCAGGGGGTTGGGCGGGCGTGGATGGCGTGTTGGAGCTGAGTGCGGGCGAGTACGAGGCGCTGCTGCTCGACATGCAGCACGCGCTGTACGAGGGGGGTGACCAGCCGCCCTGCCACGACTGGGCAGGTGTGTGATGGCACGTGTGCGTAGTTGCTCAGGAGTATAAACTACTGCCACCCACACTCCCCTCTGGTATGTGGTGTGAGGATGAAGTGGCGGCTGTGAGGATAAAGTGGCGTCTGTTTCTCATGTTTCGAGGTGCGTGTGGTGCGTGTTATGCATGGGGTTATGTGCTGTATGCTGCATGCGGGTATGTGGTGATGTTCGGTGGTGTGTGGTGCATGGGATGCGCTCGGCTGGTGGTCCATGCCGTGTGCATGGGTGCTGCGAGTGGTGTTGCCACCCATGCGCCCACCAGGCCGTACCAGCATGGAGGAGCAGGAGGCGGCATGTCAGCAGTCTATGGAGGACGCTGCGATCATGGCGGCACTGGAGTATCAACAGGTACTCTCGTTTTAGGCGCTAGCCCACCATCAGGCCTGCTGGTTCTTTCCCATCTCCCAAGTGACGGGCATGTTGTCACGCGCGGAGGGCGTTTCTGCTTTACTCCTGCAGGCCCTTTCACGGCTCGCTAACCTCCTGTAGGCTTTTGCTCTCAGATTCGATTTGCATGCGTGTGTGCTGGCATCTGTGCATGTGTGTGTGCTGGCATCTGCTCATGTGTGTGTGCTGGCATCTGCTTATGTGTGTGTGCGGGTATCTGCTCATGTGTGTGTGCTGGTATCTGCTCATGTGTGTGTGCTGGCATCTGCTCATGTGTGTGTGCGGGTATCTGCTCATGTGTGTGTGCTGGTATCTGCTCATGTGTGTGTGCTGGCATCTGCTCATGTGTGTGTGCGGGTATCTGCTCATGTGTGTGTGCGGGTATCTGCTCATGTGTGTGTGCTGGCATCTGCTCATGTGTGTGTGCGAGTATCTGCTCATGTGTGTGTGCTGGTATCTGCTCATTTGTGTGTGCTGGCATCTGCTCATGTGTGTGTGCGGGTATCTGCTCATGTGTGTGTGCTGGTATCTGCTCATTTGTGTGTGCTGGCATCTGCTCATGTCCCCAGGGCAGTCCCTTGGAGCCTCGGATTATCGTTGGGTGTTGCTTGCATGCTTCTCTTCACTGTCTGCCTGCACGCCTTAACTTTTGCCCTTCACACTCTCATTGCCCTCCCAGGGTCGTGCGCGTTCCCAGGATCTGTCGTCATCTTCACAACCCCCCTCTCTTGGTTCTGCGTGCACGCGGCATTGCCCTCTGCCGCCCTCCCAGGAGGCATCTGTCATCTGTCCGCTCTGCAAGTGTCGCCCCCTGTGCATGCGCGGCGCCACCATCGAGTGCACGTGTGGCCACTTCTCCCTCCACACGGACCACGACCATGTATGCCACACGGACCACGACCATGTATGCCACACGGACCACGACCATGTATGGCACATGGACCACGACCATGTATGCCACACGGACCACGACCATGTATGCCACACGGACCACGACCATGTATGGCACATGGACCACGACCATGTATGCCACACGGACCACGACCATGTATGGCACATGGACCACGACCATGTATGCCACACGGACCACGACCATGTATGCCACACGGACAACCTTGTATGCCACTCGCCACCTCTCCTTGCCTTGGGAGGCCGCAACACTCGCCCCTCCTTGAAACGTGTTTGACTCCAACCACAGCCACGTACCCGTTCCCTGCGCCTTCTCCCAGGCACCTGCATCTAAATCACCCTCTCTATTCCTCTCGTGCTCCTTATTTTTGCTTACGCTCTCGTCTCTTGGGCACCTGTTTTTGCCATGTCAGCATGCCACCACGGCTTCAAAGATCTGCACTGCTGTTTTCTGCATTTCCATGTGCCCATCCATGCCCATCATTACCCATCATTGCCCATCATTGCCCATCATTGCCCATCATTGCCCATCATTGCCCATCATTGCCCATCATTGCCCATCATTGCCCATCATTGCCCATCATTGCCCATCATTGCCCATCATTGCCCATCATTGCCCATCATTACCCATCATTGCCCATCAATGCCCATCAGTGCTGAGGTGAGTTTGGTTCCTCTGGCAGAGCGCCTGGAGCAAGGGAGGGACATGGCCGTATGTGCGCTCATGAACTGCCGTTGGTCTCGTTGTCGTCTCCTCCCACCCGCCGCCCT